ATCTAAATACATCAGTAACATTCTGATCATCCATTTTTTTTGATTTGTCCCAACACATTTCTCACTGATTCAGATTTTAGAATTAGAGCGTAACTGATTTCGTGCATCCTTCTCTCGATTCTATTTGATCATGAGGAATTTTAGTAGAACTGTCGAAAGCCTTATGAAGCAGTTTGCTTAATGAAGCGATTTTCTTTGCACTTTTCATCTTGTGAGTGTATTCTATAAGTGTATATTATAGGTTACTCTAATGATCTCAATATGATCTCAAAATATACTTGCAAGCATATTCAACTAGTAATAGTATGTAGATAGTTTATAGATAGTAATCTGTAGAAGTTTCAAGTGTTCTTCAATAATCATGAGGTGTTCATTGCAGCGAAATTCTTGCAGCCATCAGATTTTTATGTGGTATTGAACACTGTAAACTCGAAAATCATAATATGGCAAAGCATTGTTCATCAAAATCACCCATAACATATTGACGCGGAAAACGTTGAAAAACGCGAAAATCAAACATAACCCCTAACAAGAAATATCGAATAAAATTTGAAATAAAGAAAAAAAACAGGCCGAATAATGATATGAATAAAATGAATACAAAAGAAATATGGCACATTTGGGGAAGAAGTATTTGGGAGTAAGAAAAATGAATGTACACAAATGACTAGAACACACATCATTTTGTCTCATTGGTTTTCGCTGTATGATCTCGTTAGAGCTTAACGAGCAAAGCTGTTAATCATAATAGTAATGACAATAGTAACAGTAACATCAATAATAGTAATAAAGATGATAATAAATTTGCGATGATAACAATGAAGATAAGGTTTATATATATATATGGCACAACTGACGAAATTTCGAACGATGAACATCAACTTGACGAAACGAGACGTCTTATAAAATATCACTCACNATAATGATAATTTTGCATAGGCACAATGAAATATAATATGGTTAAGGGTGATGAACAACGCTTCAATTATGAAGAACAGTAATTTCACAATTGTGCAGAAATGATTGATACAAATCATTCGAATCATCATTTCTGCTGCTTTCATTCGCTTCAGTTTGAGATTTTCATCGATTTTAAACTGGTATTCCATTAAGATGTATTTCGAATAGATCGATTACACATCCGATTGACAGATAGATGGCGGTTTCATGCGCTTGTGGTCAAGACACGATTTATTAATAATAAGGAGAATAATAATGAATAACAATAAAAATCATAGAAAGTCACCTATAAATGGCATATAAGGCAAGCCAAATTTGAGTTAGGAGATAATTTATAGAAGCGAACGATTGTCAGGAAGAAACGAAAATATCCGGACAATCGTCTGAAGATGATGGCTGGCATCAGCCAAATCGTCGTCGTTACCGACCAACGACGCATATTCTTCTCAAGCAATGAAAACAAAGCAAACGACAAGAACAAAACAACGAACGCATTATCAGATAAAATTTTCAGTAAAAAACAATTCCATTAGAAGAATATGAACTCGCGAGTGGGATCGCTTCAAATGAAAACAATAAAATTTTCAAAAGAAACAAAAAAAAANAAAAGCAAACAGAACAACACAAAACAATTAAGACGTTTCATTTCGTCAGGTGATCCGTGATGAATGTAGTTCAATTGCAATAGCATCAGTTGATAATGTCAGTGCAGTTATTGTTGTTGTTGTTGTTGGTTGTTGCTGATAAACTCCGAGGCAGATGCAACTCGAATGAAGCTGGCACTTGCACTGAGTCCCAACGGTCCCATGGTGGAAGCACGATTCTTTGTGCGTAGCTTAGCCAACGAGTTCTCAGCAATATCGGCACGTTCATTCGCGTCATCAACTTGTGTCATCAACTGACGATATTTACCCATATTCACGGCTGCTACTTCCTCCTAAAAATGCGATTTCATCCACCGTTCCCGTTCAGATTCACTTATACCTATCTGGATTGCCTCAATGAGCAGATGTTACTGCATTAGATCATAGCTATACATGTGTCAGTGATGACTGATGAAGAAATCATTAGGATGATAGTGATTAGGGCATGAGGAAATTGTACTGTAATTGAATGTTTCATTATAAAGCAATGAAATTTTGATGTGATTGAATGAAAGAGGCATTCTAGGGATGATTTGCAGATGTGAAATCCAATCGGTCCACTCTAGGGTTCATTAGAGGATATGATATCCAATAGGCTAAACGAGATTTGGAATGAACAATTCAAATAGCATCACATACAGCTTCCTCCATTTGTCGTTTGTAGATTTTGATTTTCACTTGGAGTTTATCGCACAATTCTGTCAGCCGATCGCTGTTCTTGCGGTCCTCTTCACACTGAAATCGCAATTGAACAATCAGTAAGTTTCATCGATGATTATAAATGGATTGTTCAGCTATAAGTTATCGTTTCAAATTCGATTGTTTATCTGCAGAATATCTTAGTAATAGAACATTTAATAAACTGATAATTTTGCAATACATCATTTCAGTTATCCGAATGTAAATATGAGAATTACATAGAGCAGTTTGTTAGACTGAAGGCAATCGCTACCTGGAATTCAAGTTCTTTGATACGTCGATCGCCCTTCTTGATCTCTTTCTCCATATCCGAGCCACGTCTCTGTTCCATGTCCAGTTCTTGTTCCATGGATCGAATGCGTTCCTCAAGCTTAGCGATGATCTTCTTACCTCCACGCAAAGCGGCTGCTTCGGCTTCATCCAAACGTACCTTAATCATTCCCATATAAGTCTTCATCATCTCAACATAGTCGATCAAAATATTTTCATCTCATAATCAAAATCACTTCGAAATTTCATTCCAATCGCAATATATATTCTTGAAAGAAGTACGTAAATGATATACAAATGATCAATCAGTAGTATCGTTGACCTGAGCTAATTTCATTATATAATAATGTCTGAATTAAGATGAATAGATTAAGACATATGAGATAATGCTTGATCTGTAGTGTGAGTATAAAGTAAGATCTAATGAAGTCACTCACCTGCATTTCCTTGATTTGAACCTCAAGTGCACGTCTCATACGATCAACGTGAAGTGAGTGCTCCTGTTCTTGACGTAGCTCTTCGGCTAGACGAGCTGCATCTGCACTCGCGCTCTTCAACATCTCGTCAGTGGTCTTCAGTTGGTTTTGCACATCATCCAGATCAATCTTAAGAGATTATCATTAGCGGTGTATCCTTTCACTCGAATACCCTACTCACATATACAACATTTCAATCATACGATAATTTAATCGCTATTTTGAGTGCTATCAATAGTGAAAGTGAATGAGTTGAATGGAATTTTGTGAAATGAAGCACGTACACAAAAACAAATTTTAAAAAAACATACGTGAACAGCTTGTAACTCTCCTTCGAGCTTTCTTCGTGTATTATTGATCACAGTCACTTGATTCGTCAAATCGTTCACTTGTTCACGTAGTTCAATCGCATCTTGTTCAGCACTACGTCTGGCACGTTCGGCCTTAATTTTACACGAGTTTTGATTATTCATTCATTCGACGAAATGGTTCCGTTCAATTCTTACAATCAATTAATTTCCTATTTATCGCATAAGAACTGAGATTTGAATTCTATATTTTGAGTATTCAATCACTGGAAATAATATTCAGCGTATGGAAATCAAAATATTGCGATGAGGATTTCTTTTGATACTCGAATATAATCTTTTATCATCGAATATATCGACTGCAACTTACAGCTTCAGCTTGATTCGCGAGCTCGTCTTTTTCGGCTTGCAGTATCGCAGCTCTCTTCTGAATGCCTTGCAATTGCTCACTGAAAATGATCAAATTAAAATTTGCTGGTCTAAAACCTTCTTCAAGATCACAATGATTTATTCACATCGACATTGGTGATTGTTGAATAACTTCCTTCGGATACCTTTGGGTTTATGATTAAAAGAATGGTAGAGTTATGATTCAAGGAGACGGATGCTTTTCTTTGCTAACATCGCCGACTGCTCCAAAAGAAAGACTCCAGAAGAATGAACGACATGTTATTTAGTGATAATCGCTAGTGAAACGATTCTAGTAAGATGTGATTGCTCTGTTCCATCATGTTTAGTTATCATTAGTTATCACCAGTGTGCAGTATTTATCAGGAACATGCTTTGAGGTGATAGAGGGCAAATATGATCAGACGAATAGACTGAACATACACTAAATCTTCTTTCTGTCGTTGTTCATCTTCGATTTGCAGTTGTAGTTCACGGATTTGTTCTTGATAACGTTTGATGTTCTTCTGTGCATCTGCGTTAGCCTTATTCGCATGATCAAGAGCGATTTCAAGCTCCTGAAAACATTTCATTCATTAAATCGGCATAGAATTTGGTTGTAAATATCAATTGAGATCGATGGAAGAATNTAAATCAAATGCCTCACATTAATGTCTTGTTCCAGCTTCTTCTTGATTCTCAGTGCCTCATTCTTGGCTTTGATTTCCACTTCCAGGGTTGCTTGCATACTTTCCATTGCACGTTGATGATTTCTTCGAGTATTCTCGAATTCTTCTTCCTTCTCTTGAAGGCGTTTCTCGATTTCGGCACGAACTTGTGATACCTCGACCTAAACCATTCGCATTTCATTAGCAAACAATCGACTGCATCGTAAATCAACTCAGCTCAGTCAACTCAGAAGTATTCATCACCTGAGCACGTAGTACTTTCGCCTCTTCAGCTTCAAGCGCAGCCTCAGCATCATCCAATGCCTTCTGAAGCTCTTCCTTTTCGGCCTCTAGACGACGAACCATCTTTTGCAATTCATGTACCGATCGACCGCCTTCAGTGAGTTGATCGGTAAGGTCCTTGATCTCCATCGCGAGCGATTTGTTCTCACGTCGGAGACTCTCGATTTGCTGCAATTATTTAGTCCTCATTATATATCTGATGGAATATTTCGCTATTATACGGTGATTCATGATAACTGAGTCAAACTTCTGCCCAGTGGTCAAATGCCATGATGAAATGCGATTATCAAATGCGATATCGCCTCCTCGATCAATAGAGATCATAGTGATGATAAAAATGATAACAATGATAATAATAATGGTAAGGTTAACAATGCCAAACGAAATACTGATAATAACAGTGGAAATATCAATGCTAATTGAAACCAACTTCAAGAAGTTCATCTTGTGCAGTCTTGGATTTGAACAATTCAGTGGCAAGATTGCGATTGTCACGTTGAGCGGCATCGAGTTCGGCTGATAAATCATCGGTCTTCTTCTTCCATTCTTCAACGATACGGTCAAAGAATTTCTGTTTCTTCTCCAAACTGGCCGCGTAGTTTGCAGTACGTTCAACATCAACCTTCAATCATTGCATTATAGAGAAACGTTTGCAAATAACGATAACAA